AAATTTGTCTCATTTATACTGCAAGGCTAAGACATTTAATGAGTGCTGGTCTTAGCAGGAAGGAGGAGTCACTCAGTAAGTTGAGTAATTTGAAACTGTTGGACTTTGAATGTTTTGCTGCTTATGATAACAGCACTAGTAATATTTAATATAGATTGCAGTAACATTCTATTGTTTTTCAAACTGTAAATTTTTATAAGTTTCGGATATGTTAAAATGTGTATGTTTCTAGTGCCAGAACACATTATGGAAAGAAACACATCAAATAGGGCCTGATTTTAAAATATATTTTTAAGAGTTTGTTAACTTTTGATTAATACTAGGTCCTAATTTCCACAAGCTGTATGTAGATGATGGTAGAGTCTAGGAAATTGGCAGCAAAAAATGTTAACAAGTAGTAAAATACTCTGTTTTAGCTTATAATGTAAAGTTCCAGTATTTCCTTTGTACATTAATTAAGAAATTTCCCTTTTACCATCTTTTTCTGTAAGAAGCACATATTAAATTTCATTAATCTTTCTTCAAGGCTCATGCAAACTATTGGTTTTTTTTAGTCATTTATATATTCTTTTTAATTTGTCAATGTAGGTGTTTCTTCTATAGTAGAATGAGAGAAAACTCTGCACAGTACTCCCAAATGTGAGATGAGCAAAGTTGGTATAAAGAGGAATTGTTACCTGTCTGGCCTTAAAAATCAAAGCCAGTGTATCCATGACTTGTATATACAGCATTTGCTTCTCTTGATATAGGACGAATTCTTGTGTAACAAATGCATTGCTAGGAGCTGTTGCAGGGATGAAATGTGTGGTCTTTCATTTTTTTCCTATGTCTAATATCTGTGACTTGTTATGTGTTATCCTTTACTTTGCTGTCTCCCCCTCCCCCAATATTTTTCTTTGCATTTCCCACCATTTCCTACCATTCTGTTTGGTCAGTGACTACATGGTACACTTATGTCCAGTTTCTGTGTTCCTGAGATGAAAGCAATTGTGAAGTCTGGGGAGCTGATTTTGCGAAAATAATCAAATTGAAGAGGTACAGTAATCATTAACAGGATGGGTTGCTTGGAAGCTGGAAAATAGATTGGTATAAATAAACACCCTGTAAAAAGGGGCAAAATAGTCCAAAGAGATCTAGGTTAAAAACAAACAAACAAACAAAAACCCAACAATTTCCGCTTTGCATGGAAACTGGATGAAGACTTGATTATCAAGTGATGACTTATTTGCTCTTGAATGCTTTAATTTAATCGGTGCCTGTTCCCATGAAATCTGTAGAGAGGTGTAAGGCATTTTATTTTATAAAGATTTGTTGTGTTTGAAGGAAGGAAATGATGAATTGCAGTGTTAGAAGGCTTTCTGTATAGCAGTAGGTGGAATTCCAGTGTTGTCTTAAGGAAAATGCTTTTTCCTTGGAGAAGGGGATTAGGCCATATAATTGAAATAACTGCCAATTAAGTAATAATCTGAATAGGAGAGATTACAAGTTCCAATAAAATAAATGTATTGTGAAAGAAAGTAACATCCCTTTCTTGTGAAAGGCTTATTCCAAGTCTGGTCTAATCTGGTTCTCTGGTTTCTTATTTCCTTTTTGTAATGACTAAAGGTAACATTTCCATGGCAGTCTGAGCTGATCTGTCTTTGGGCTTGTGCGTTTTACTACGCCTTTGAGCCAGCCTTGACTGTTGCGTTATCTGTCAATGAGCTGGTTCAGGGAGCTGAACTGACTGAAAACTACCCTTAGAAAAAGAGTGTTTAGCTCTTGACTGGGTAAGCCCTTTGACTCTACTTGCTGCCTAGCAGTGCCAGCTGGAGTTGGCGGTTGTGAAGCAGAGAGGTACGACTCTGTGTGGGGCATGAGGAGGGGGTGCAGAGCTTCAGCAGCCCCAGTACCAGCAGGCTTGGACTGCTATGGAAATGTTGTGATTCTGGAAGCGGGAAATGCACGCGTAGGCACAGAACAACACATTGCAATTTCACTGGGCGCTCATAGCGTATTGCTGTTTGTTTCTAACGAAACCATGATGCCCTTTGTGTTAGCCTGTGCTAGCTGTTGAAGGTCATACTATTCATTAGCACCATTTCAGTCCATTTACCAGTATCCTGACAGAAAAAGTTAATGAAATAAACCAAATAAAAGAAAAAAGCAGCAGGCTGCTTCTTGGGAGGAGGAGGAGAAGATGCACTTGAGACTCCTTTATTAAGTTTCAGCTTGGGATAACTATGCCTGTACAAAAAAGTGAATAGTCACAGAATGGTTGAGGTTGGAAGGGACCTCTGGAGATCATCTAGTCCAACCTCCCTGCTCAACCAGGGTCCTCTAGGGCATGTTTCCCAGGATCACATCCAGACGGGTTTTGAATATCTCCATAATATACAATAGGACAAGTGAAAAAGATAGTCAGGAATTGAAGGTATAGTTACATAGGATGAAATGATTTTCTTAGAAACAGTCAAACAGTTTAGGAAGAAAAAAAGAAATTTTCCACATAGACTTTGCCCAGACATGAGCTACTCTGCTGCTGACCTGTTTATGTTGATACTTTGCATAGGATCAAGTCTACGTTTTTATATTTCTTGCAAAGTTAATCCCTGCAATTGGAAATCAGCTCAATTTGCAGTAGTTCCTGAACAAATCTCTCAATATAATCCAGCTGTACAGGTTCATTTATTTTTAGTGCAATTCTATTACTAGCTGATTCTCCTTCAACCTCTTAAGTGGTTTTTCATAAGTGTTTAAGCGCCACGCAATTCTTAATTGTTCTTTTAAAATGTCAATTCTGACCTGCATTATAGTCCTAGTACTTATTTTTCCTACTTTTGTATAGATTTGTTTCCTTGTACTTGTGACAAATTATTAAATTCTATATTGTTTTTAACTCTTTGAAAACAGTTTTCCTCCACTTGTATTATTGAGACGAATATACTTTACAAAAGCTGTATGCTCTGCCCCTCTCCTTCTTCCTACTTCTAGCCCTGTTGGCCAATGTCATCTCTATTTGTCAAAGTGACGTCAGTCTCAAGCATATTAAATTCTTGCAGGTTTCAGGAAAATCATCAAGTTGGTAGGGAAGAATGACCCAAATCAATGTTTCTACTAATGGCAAATCTGCAGCATGGTTCCAAGTTACCTGTTCTGTTAGACTTGGTGACTGACCCATCTGTACAGGTAAACCAGCCAGCCAGTCTGTTCATGTGCAACTCAGACAGTCAGTGGTTATGATGTTCTTTGCTGAATTGATAAGGAGCGCAGCACAGGTGGTGCTTCAGGTCAGGAATACTGCTTTAAGAGCTCTGGGCTGTGGCTGGAGGAAGCTCCAAGTTTGCAGTGGAGAGGTGAAGCTATTTAGGATGCATATGTAAGATAAGTGATTCATACCTGATCCTGAAATACTCTGACTAAATGGTTCTTAAAGTGGACCTCTGTATAGCCAGAAATTGCCTGTAGCGGATTTCAAAATTATGTTACTCAGTAAAATTTTGAGTTAGAAGCTGGGATGTATGCTAGTCTACAGGTAATTCTAGGACTTGACAACAGTAAGTTTAAGATTGATGTGCAATGGTGCATTGCGTAAAGAGAGAGGAAAAAAACAAAATAATGTGTTTGTGATCTTCACTTACGTCCTAAAGCAGCTCCAGGCTGAAAAGATAAAGCAACAACTTTCTGTCTTTTGGAAGGATTGGGATTTTTGGTGGTTTTTTTCCAGTGCCTGTTCTAAAAGGTGATTTGACAGGATATTTGGGGGAAATGTGACAAGATTTGGTTTTGGCATTCCAGCAGAGTTTAAAGAAGAAGTAGCATGTCGTCCTATGCATTTCTGTCTGTGCTGAATGTCATGGATTGTTTGTGTTAACAGCCATGTTCACGTGTGGAACTGAACGCGGGACAAAAACTTAACAAAAAGCTAATGATAGGAGAGGGGAGAAAGTGAAAGAAGTGAGCCCTTCAGTAAACTTTCTTGCTCTCACAAGTAAGAAGGCCAAATAGTGCAGCTTGCCCTTATCTGTTACTGTGCCTTCCTGTTATGGACAACATTCAAGTGAAAAAGCTGCTTGTATGGGTGTGTGCATTTTGCGAGTATGGGGAAGAAGCATGTTACTCGAGAAATGCACAGTGACCTTGCACTGGAGCATGCAAAAGCCACTTTGATTCCTCTCAGTTTGCTTAATTATTTATATTATTTTAAGCTTATACTTTAAAAGGCCTATAAGGTATGGTCTCACTTGTAGCCATTTCAAAAGATAAATAAGTAGTATCTCCCAGGCAATGAGAGGCATCCGGTTCATTGTTGTTTAATGTGTATTTTGCAGTAGAAGAGTCGTTTTTCTTGGTTCAGTGATTAACACAGTATGTGCCCTGCGATAAACTAATCGGCAACTCCAGTAAAGGTGGCTGAAGAAACGTTTACTCTATTTTAGGATATGCTTAGTCATCTCCATTTCAGCCTTTAGCAGGTTACAGGCACTGCTCTCTATTCTTTCCTAGTAAAGTCAATGAACAAGCTAGTTGGAATATCAGCACAGAAACGAAGTTTGTTGTACTTGAGAATATGAATTCTGGAATGTTATGTTATTGCCCAAGTATTTTGTGTGTTGCTAGAAATCTGAGAATACATTCCAAGTTTCTTTTCGTGTTGGTAAATCTAACACTTTACATCATGCAGGTATAGAGTGGCTGCTAAATATGGGACAAGCATATGTAAGAGGATCTTTATTAGTAGCGAATATGATATAGCCCTTCTGTGTCCTGAAAACAACATTCGGCTATAAATATTTCTTCATCGTTGTTAATTGAAAACTTGGCTTTTTCTAATAGTTATATCTGTTTATTTGTTTTGCTGCGTCATTTGGTCTAGGCAGTATAAAACACATTGGTATCTTTAATAATACGTTTTGTAGTGATTTTTTTTGTATAGGTGATGTTATGTGCAGATCTAGCACACTTTATATCTAAATTAATCGATCTATAAATAAAAATATTTTGTCTTACCAGATGTAAAATGCTTTCTACGGGGACTTTTGCTTCTGATGCCAGGATTCTGAAGATTTACTTTTTTACTTGGCTTACTGGAAGATGACCAAATGATATCATTAATGAATCCTTCAGGACGTTGGTGATCGTTGTATCATGGGTGAATGCTGCCATGGACAACTGCAGATGGTAAAGAGAAAATTTTTTTGGTGAGCCTATTTGAGGCTAGCTTCCTGACATGAAAAGGAGTGGACTAAGTTTTTGATTCAAATTTGCTGTCCAAAACTCACTCTTTTCACTCTTAAGACCATTCACAAATTACGGGTACATATTAGAGGAAGCAATCAATTTGTTGGATTAACTGTCTGACTCTCTGAAAGAGCTGTCTTTGAAGGGTGCATTTACTTTGCAGGTAATAGTATAGTTTAGATAACGTTGAGCTAGCTTTAAATGAACTAACTTGGGTCCTGCAAGCAGTCTTACTGCAAAATACATGCAGCGAGGTTAATTTGTGCTGAGCTCTGCTGATGCAGCCTGACAGGTACCTGAGTAGTTTGTTTAAAGTCAGTTTTAGTTCAGGTGTTTCAAAACTATACTGCGGATAAGCTTAGCTATATCTGCAGATACTCTTCTGTAGTTGTTTACTTAATTTCATTTTCATAAGTCAATACAGGATCTTTTTTTCTCAATAAATCCCTGAAAATAGTAATAATTAATTTAACTCTTAGTCTTGTTATTGCTTTAGGGTTAGTTTTGTCTAACGTTTTTTCCTTCAGTCTTCTCTTCTTTTTAACAAAACAAATGGGAAGCCACATTCAGTAGCCTCCAACTAAGTAATTGTCTTAAAATGTAAAAGTTTATTAATGTTTTAGTATCAGTACCTTGTTTAAGAGGACATTCAAAAGATTCAAAAAAAAATGTTTATTTGCTTTCTAAGGATATCTTATCTACTCACTATATTTATTCATTCTATTTTATCAGCTCTTTTGTGAAACACCACAAACAGTTAATGCACCTTATAAAGGACTCCTGACCTTTTGCAGCTTCATAACTCATATCTAGATGTCACCAGTGTTTCCCATGTTAACAGTTCTGAGCATGTTTTACTATATGTGCCTTCGGCGTCGAGCTAGGACAGCTACAAGAGGAGAAATGAACAGCCGGAGAGCTATTGAATCAAATACCCGAGCCTTACCTATCAATGTTGAAATCGTTCAGTATGCCAAAGAAGTGCTGGATTTCAGCTCTCATTATGGTAGTGAAAACAGCATGTCGTATACCATGTGGAACTTAGCAGGTATTCCAAATGTGTATCCTAGTTCTGGTGACTTTACTCAGACTGCTGTGTTTCGAACTTACGGGACCTGGTGGGATCATTGCCCTAGCGCTCGGTTGCCGTTCAAGAGGATCCCACCTACCTTTTGTAGCCAGGACTATGTAGAACTCGCTTTTGAGGAACCGGTTTATCCCACAGCAGTGCATATTCTGGAAACGTATCATCCTGGAGCTGTAGTTAGGATTTTGGCATGCTCTGCAAATCCTTATTCACAAAATCCACCAGCTGAAGTAAGGTAATTTTTTTTTCCTCTATGCTTTCCTGTAATATGTTAAATAATACAAATAATCCTGTTTCGCAAACTTTGCTTTTTAGTATTTCTGTATTTTGTATCTGACTTGCTAACGTTTTTTTTTTCCTGAGTGTGTTCAAAACAGTGGTGGCATATGTTTTAAGAGCAACTTTAGAGTTATAGATTTTTCTTATGTGAATTAATGTAGACCCTAATATCAGGTTTCATTTGTGTAATAATAGTTCTTATGATGAAATTTGGATGAGCAATAATTATTTTTGCACAAAAATCACTTGTGAAATGGAGGTTCTGCTGAATTACTCTCCAATAAAAAAGCAAGTTGCATAGAAGAGCCTGAGGTTTTGTGGTTGCTGTGTTGTAATGCTTTATGTAGCCTTAAATTCTTCTCTTTCTATGGCTTAGGAGGCTGTATGCATGGTAGAATCGGGTGCTGTAAATGTTCATTTGGAAATCAGGCCAAAACCAGAAGCACCAGTCAGACAAAAAGTGATACCATTTGTCTGATTCAAAGTGCATGAACAGCACATGATTTTAGACTTGTTTTATAGACTGAAAGAACTTGATTCAGTTCTATCAGTTTTCCTTATCCTAAGAACACCTGATGCAACTTTCAGTCTGGGGCAGGGGGAGGGGTAGAGACGGACAGCAAAATAGAGAGGGACCGGGTGAGTGGTAAGAGAATTAAAACAAACAAACAAACAGAACTATGAATGAGGTGTGAAGCTCTCAGTGAGGCTGTTATAGAAACAGAAATGGAAAGAGAAAGAAAACAGGTGAAAGTGTGTGTGTGTGGGGGAAATTGGAAAAAGCTATATAGTAATCAGCATATGCCAAAGAGAAGGAATTATATCAAACCCACAAAGCAAAGGAGGACTATCAGAAGAAATAGTAACAAAAGTGTTTTTAAAATACATCCTGAAGAAAGTAATATACCAACAAATACTGTATACCTTTAAAGTGTATGCTTTGGAGGGAATGTGATACAAGCAGATGCTGGCTTAGGTGCTGGATTTTTTTCCCCTAACCTGCCTTTTTCAGATACAGCTGAAAAGTATATTTTTAGTGCTAACTTTCATTTTACTTGCTTTGATTATGTAGCACAAATTTATGTAGAGATTATTTTGGTAATTCTATTGATAGTGCTGCACTACAGTACTTAAAAGTAAGACAGTGCACTGCTGTGCAAGGATACAAGGATATAATTCGGAGTAATAAGATGATACTATTCTACAAAAATGTTTTAAAGTCTGTTTAGTTCTTCATTCATAAAAAACACTTTTCAAGTTTATGTAAAGAATAATCGGATCAAAAAGTTTGCAGCTATTTAGTAAGGTGTACTTTTTAAAAGAATAAAGAAAATTGTTTAGAAACCTGAAGGAAGAAAAAAAGAGGAAAACATTGATACGACACTACAACATATACAACAGTAATACAGATTTTTTTTTTTTTATAGTTCCTTTTGGGGTGTGGTTAGACTGAGAGCCCACACTTTTGCTTAATCGTAAGGGCTGAAGCTTCTTTAGGCCCTGCCTTTCTCTTTGTAGGCAGAAATATCCTCTATTCTCCCTAGGTTAGCAGCATTTTTGGTAAGAGGAGGGTTGGTTGTCTTAGCAGTCCTGAGATCTAGTGGGCTGTGGTGCACCTTCACTACTTGCTAGTCCTAGTGAAAACCCTAGAGAGCTGTTGGAGGGATAATTTTTTTTTTTCTTTTTGGCTTGCCTTTCCTCAGCAGGATTTTGCTCTTCGGGGCTGCTCGTTTGGTTTGTCTCCTACTTTCTTCTAAAAGAGACAGAACGTGTTTTAACACACCAAGTTTGAAAGGAAGTTAAAGGAACCCTTTCTCCAGATCAGGTGGTCGCTATTTTTTCTCGTTCAGCTGTATGTGGGGAATATGAAGACCTGCAAGACTCTGGTCTGTCTTCCATTTGGTCCCTTGCTTTCACTCCCCAAAAATCATCTGAGATTTCAGCTAAGAATTATTTTTCCGGGAAGATGGAAATAGTACTGCTAACCTCAGGTACTTCTATGTTTAACTAGCGTTTTGGACTTGAACTGCTATACCATTTTCTTCTGTTAAAAAAGGCCGTATTCCAGTTACTCAAAGGAAGGACACCTGTAACCTTGTTTTCCTCTCCTGACTATTTTCAGACTCTTAAATCACCAGACTGCCTAAATAGCTGAAAGCGCTACTTGGTTTTATCTTTTAGCTCTTGATCTGTTCCTTGTGAACAGCACTGTAGAAAGGGCAGGTCATTGCAAAGGTTCTTTCTCACCCCTTTTTACCAGTTCTTACTTTTTACACAAAAAGAAGGCCAAATTGATCCTTCCTGTTTATTTTAGGAATGTCAATGTCTTGAGAGAAGCCTGTGGACTCCGCTTAAATCTACTGTGAGAGGAAGAAATCTATTGAGACTTGTTTAAATGTCATGCTTAGTGGATTACACTAGTTCAGCTGCATAATTTTCTTTCTGTTTTCTCAGTATTTAAAACTTTTACTTATCCAAGACTTTACTCTATGCAAAAGTTGCTAATCTTCAGGAAGCCCTATAAGGGCTTTGTGTACCAGAGTCCTTGCTCAAGGGGACTTTATGTAGAAGAATGGTTGTAGCTTGTGTAATGGTCCCCTATGCTCCTCTGTTGCTGGTGCCTTGGATCCTGCTATGAATGACATTTTGCATGACACTCTCTCAGAGCAGCTTTTTTCAGAGTCCTTTTAGGGTTGGGACCTACTCTGTGGAGTGGAGGAAAAAAAAAACATTTTTCAGATCGGAATGTAATTGTGCCTAATTAACATTAATACTTAAAACATGAGAGTGAATTTCAAGTCTTCTGATTTTAGCTTAACTCCAACTTTGAGGATTTTCTGTCCTCTCGTATTTTTTGCTGCTCTGAACACAGAAAATGCTTATCACGATCCTCTGTATGAAACAATGTTTGAAAATCATAAATGTCAGGGGAGCTTCTGTCTCTACATGTGGAGACCTTCTTTGCTCTTAATTAGTGCCCTCAGGCCTTGACTGGTGAGAAATATTTTGATTTTGGTAGTTTCTTAAAATATACTAATGTATGTTAGTATCCACTACTTTATTTGATTTATCAATATTTATCCGAGTGTAGAAATTTATCCGAGTGTTTATCCGAGTGTGATTTATCCGAGTGTAGAAAATCCAAGCAAAAATTAATCTGAGATTAAGGACATATCGTAGCATATCCTTTCAGTTTTTAAAGAGTGAAGGAATCTTCCCCCTTGCTATGGTTAGTCTACTAGTATATCTTTTACATTCTGTGCTGTGATACACCTAAATATTGGATTTTATGTACTTAGGACTTGGTGGCAAAGGTGGCTCAGGGTCTTCAGCCAGTGAAGAAGAGAGAGTTCCACAGAGGTGTAAGTGGGGCACTGTGGCTGGTAGTGGCATGAGCTGAACCCAACTAACCCATCTGGAGAGTCCGCTTTTTGTTTCTGGTACTGTGTTAGACTGATGGATAAGATGCAGCTAAGTTTGGGAGAGGAGGAAAATATTTTCTTTCTTCCTTTTTTGTCCCTTTCCCCCCCATCCCCAACAAGAAGGTTTGTTCTTCACAGTTCCCTAATGACTTCTTCTATATCAAACCACTAGAACTGTTTTGATACTCCTAACACTCCACACAGTTAGTGGCTGTCAGGCTGGGAGAGCGTGTGTGTTTAAATGGGAAATTTCGAGTCAAAAATAACTTTTTCTGAAAAGTCTCAACTTTTTTCTGTTACAGTAACTAAAAAAAAATTATATTGTAAAAATGGCTCCTGTTTTTCCTCCCTCTTTTTTTTCTTTTTAACTTAATTGACATTTTCTCTTATCTCATGTACCTTATGGTAACATCACATATTCATGTTGTTTTTTGAGCTCAAGAAGTATTTCCTAACTGCTCTGGGATGTGTGGCAGTGCTTGGGGTGATGTTTCACAGTGTGTGTCCTTGCCACTATGCAATGATTGCTTCTTTAGTAGATCAGAGATTGTTCTCTGGGGCTTGTTGTTGTTTGGTTGGTTGTTTTTTTTCTCCTTACTATTTTCTACAGATACAGTATAACAAGTATTAGGTTGTTTTCTGCAGGTCAGATATCATGGTCGTATGACAGGCTGGGAGCAGTTCCAGAGCTATCAGCGGCAGCATTCTGCCTCGTGTGTTCCTGCCATTTATTTCTGTTTTGTTTTGTTTTGTTTTTTGTCACTCAAAGTTTTGCTACGTGCAGAGCTCTTTTGAGCAAAATTCCAATTTTCATTTTAAACTTGTAGCTGCATAGGCGGGCTTAATATTTTTTAGCTCTGCCGCAGGGCTGTTTGCTGCAGGAGAAGTTCTTTCTCTGTTTCTGAGGTCTTGAAGCCTGTAGAGGCAAAAACTGCTGCAACCAGCAAAGCAGGCTAAGGAACACAAAGTAAAAGGCTTCCTCTCTTTCCGTTAGGAAGCTCATTGCATTTAGGTAGTAGGCTCTCTTTCTTAAAGTCTAACTTGTGTGGGAATGTCATGAATTTCTTCCCTGGCAGACAGGATTGGGATCAAAATGTTTGATAAACAATCTCCCATCCTGATAAAGGAGTGAAGCCAGAAAAGTAGTGTACTGAATATAAAATTTCAAAAGTTTCTTTCTTGTAGACACAGAGGCATTTAAATGGCTCTTTCGCATTACCTTTTGTTCCCTGTGAATCTTAGATGAAGGCACCCAAAATGCTGCTGTTAGTGTCAACACATTAGAGTGTGGTAAGGGGCCTTCAAGGCTGTGTCACCAATGTGTAACACACAACTTAGGTTCTATCCATTGGCATCCTTACTCATAACTTGTTTTGACATCTTCAGGGAAACACAGGTACCTGTTACCCAGATGACTGTCATAGAAGAGTGAGTTTCTTGGTTCATGAGAAACTGTCATTTTTGAGAAACCCATGAAAAGCTCAAGTGGATAAGGCAATTGCTTGAAATATGACTTGCTATTTTAAATGCCCTCAGAGCATTCTCTAGAGTCCTATCTGCTCTCTCTGGTATATCAGAATCAAACTCTCAAAGTAGAAATAAAAATCTGTGGCTTGCTCCCCCACAATAGACTGCTGAGCTAGTCACTGTGCTCATCCCCTTGACCTGAATGATTCTAAAATTCTGCTCATGATCAGACTTCCCTGCCTTTTGTATTTACAAACTCACAGGTGTGGCAGTGGATTCTCTTTCCAGATTACGTGGAACCTCATGTGCTGAAGCATCCCTGGCGTGTTAGCAGGCAGGAAGCGTTTCTTCATAGGTAGCCTACAGATTATTTTTAGAGCACCTGCTTGGACAGGAGGAGGCGGGGTGTGGCACATACCATGATTACAATACTTGCAGAAGTTGCAGTTTCAGCAAAGGTGTGGTTTTATTTGCTGAGTTTCCATATGTGTTCCTTGTTGGTCTACCTGACTTTTTCCCTTCTTTTGTCTTTTAATTCAGATGCAGGTTCTTGGGGTAGGGCATTTATTTTTTGTGCTTGAGTAGCACCTACTCCATTACTCACTCTCTATCCTAATCTCAATTTTATAACACGGTAAGTCTTTTCAGTGGATAGCAGGCAAAGTTTAATCTTGTCTCACAGGAGAGATACCTGATTACTTTTCCTGGGAGCCACTTCTCAGAGAATCTTTCTTATATATATTCTTCAGAAGATGCCTGACCAGAGCTCGCTACATCTTAGCTATTGCCTTTGAATATCAAAGCTTTCCAATAGCGTTAGGTCAGCAAAAAATAACCAGTAAATATATGCTCTCATTTGTCACAAACCTTGCAAATGTGCTTCTCAATGTAAAAATCACTGGACTATAGTTCCCCTCTTCAAGATGAGGAAAGGAGAGTGGGAGGGTTTGGATTTTTTTGTTTGTTTTTTATTTTGTTTTTGCATAGGTGTATGGAGACTTCGGTATCAGAAACTGAGTATAATGCGTTCCCACCTATGTTAATAAAAGGAGGTAGTGAGAAATGTAATGGGAAAACCGAGTTTGTTAAAGCTGAATGGAAAACTTGACTTAAATCCTCCCTTTATTCAGTCGCTAAAGAAAGGAATACAGATGGTACTGCCTCCCATTCAGGCCTTGCACAGCAATGTAAAACTGAGGCTTTCCAGTACAGTGCTAGTGAAAGCTTCTTGTCAAACAATTCTCATTTCACCGTTCTTTAGCAGCTGTTACTATACATTTGCAAGACTTGGACAAACAGCTTACTACCTTCAGTCATTTGATCCTACTTGATTTTTGGGAATAGATAGAACCATAGTAACTCTAATGGGGAGCAGAAGAAATTTCCTTTGATTTCTTTCCAGATATTTTTAGGGATTCAGTTTCACTTTGTCACAGGTTAAATATCTTTTGGAGCACATGCAGGCATCTCGTCTTGGGGAAGCTGATTTTAGTACCCACTCCCAAACCAGAGCTGTCTGATAAAAGACCTTTCCTCAGAAGGATTTTGAAACAGGTGACCGTAAAGAAAAATGTTTCAGAACAAAAGAAATGCAGTTCTTAGTGAGGTCTTCTGGAAATTTGGATTTTTTGGATCTGTTTCCAACTACATAGTCTTTACTCCGGTTTGGATTGTGTGTAGTCCATTAAAGTGTCAAAGTACTGATCCTACATGAAGAGATCAGTTGCAGCAGTGAGTATATTAGGAAGATGCCTATTCTAGCGAAGAGTATACCAGCCCTGACTGAAATAGCAATTATTCTGGCCTGGTTTTGTGTGTGCAGTGCCACCAAGGGAGAGCAGAATATCAAAAGCTATGTGGTAAACTTGATTTTTTTCCCCTCCCCCCATGTCACACCAGCAGCCAACTCCTTTAGTCAGACTAGTGGGCTGTTGATGAAATGAAAACAATATCATGAAAACAGTGGAGGATAGTCAATAGTCTTTTTGTTCATCAGCTGTTGGTATGCAGTGTGAAGCTTCACAAAGCTGTAGAAAGTCCTGCTACACATCTTTACTGTTCTCTAGTTTAGTACAAAGACTGGGAATTAGAGGCACTGCTTTCTGAGGAAGGTTATTGCTTTGCAATTTGGTGAACCTAGACCTCCAGGTGAATTTTTTCCAGAGTTGTACTACTGACAGATAATCCTTTCTCCAGGACAGCAAAGGAGAAGTCAGTGACTGAGCCGCATTCTATTAAAAGTTAATGGTCTAGTGTGTGTTAAATGAGTGTTTTAAAAATAGCCTTGAGTTTCCCTTGGGATATTTTGAGTGAGTATAAGAAAGTGTCTAAGCAAAATGTCAGATGGTGGTCTAGATGTGCCTAAGAAAAAGGTCATATTCAATCCCAACTTTAAGTATTTGCTTAGGAAATCGACCTATGCAAGAGGCTGTGACGATGGAACTATGTCTGCTTCTTTCTGAGGAGAACTGACGTTCTTTTCCTAAGTAAATGAAATGTTCTTCTCTTAGTGATAAGTCTCTCTTATAAAAGCTGTTAATCTTAGGGCAGAGTTGTCATGTCTCTTAAAATGGTACTTGCTAACATGCCGTGTGTTCACCAATCGTGCATGTTTGCTTTTAGTTCATGACATTTCTTTTCCTTTGACAGAAGACTTCTGCAAGCCTCCCATTCTACTGTAAGGTATCTGTGGAGAGTGGCATGATGCAGAATAGGAAAATTTATCTGCACGTTCCTGAAAACGTCCATTGTGAAATGGAGGTTTCAGCATAAATGGATTAACTTTCCTATTCTTGAAATATTAGCAAATATCAAACAAACTTCTAAGCCTTACTTATACTAGGTGTGTTCTGTTTTAATGGAAGCCTTGCATTTTGCTTTTTGTGATGACAGACAAATTTTAGGCATTTGGTTTTGGAGAATAAAGCATGATGTTGTGTGGCTTTTTTTTCTGTTGTTGTGTGTGGGTTTTTTTTTTTAATGTATACATTCTGTAATACAAGTTAGTATTGAATAGTACTTGCAAGTTCATAGTAGTGGTATCTATTATGGAGAGCAGAGATGTTGAGGTCCTAGGGCAGATACTGTACTCTGAAGACCTATGTGACAAGACAGTAGGCTGAGAGAAGTCTTTGAAGCTGAGATCAGACTTCAGATGGGGAGTAGATGGGAAAGTTTCTGGGTTTTGTACAAAGGATACAGAGATTATTGTAAGAGTACTGTCGAAGGGAGTAGCAGCAGTGGTTGCTGGAACGCTTCCTTCTTTCTTAATTAACTAGACTTGAGAGTGAAGGAGAGGGAGGAGAACAACATCAGTGACTGAAGGACCTCTAAAATCCATTCACTAGATGTGAACCTAAACATATATAAAGAGCGTGTTTCTGTTTTCAGGCCGTTTGACAAGTTTGGGAGCGCTCAAGACCTAACGAGTATAAGACTTCATTCTCCAGATTACTCAGTTGGCAGCAGGTTTCACTGTCATTTACTGGAGAAGAACGGAGGTCTGTGTGTGCAAGTGAGGGTGTATGTATGGAAGTTCTGTGCATGCCCTGAACCACCTCCTGCCACTGGAACAAAGAGGATAAAGCTTTGTCAGTATAGCAGTTTTTTTTTTTTTTTTCCAAATGATCCTTTTAAAAATGACTTGAAGATTCTGTTTTCTTTCTGTTTCTTTTCTTTTTTTATCCATAACCTTGTACTAATAAGTTGAGTAAATTGCATTTTAAAAGAATATTTTGCTTACCTGGGCAGATAGGCAAAGTAAAAATTAGATTTTTTAAAAAATATTTTGTTAATGCTGCAGTTTAAACAGCTTTGATATGAATGAGTGTGAGCTGTGGCTTCTGTATTGATTTTTTTTTTTTTTGGTGAAAACCTTGTGTGGGGATTGAGAGGTCAGCTGACTGCATATTTAATTAGTTAACAAGACTTCCTTATGCATACTTAAACTAATACATGGTCATTATGAAGGTATCTATAATCCATTTGTTAAGATTACTTTAATTGTGAAATATTAAAACAACTTGTATGTGTATTATAGTAACTTAACACAAATGCATGACTATGAGTATACACCTGGATTTGTTATCCAGAGAAAATATGCTAAGATTATGAATGAGTGTGGCCTATGAAATTCTTCCTTAGAATGTTTACCAAATCTAGGGGAAAATGTAACAATTTTCATTGTTTTTTTTTTTAACAACATTTCTCACTTGCTAAATATTTCTGACAGAGTAGTGTTCTTTCTAGGTTCAGAAGTTGCATTAGTAACTTTGTTCTTAATGCCTGTGTGGTATGTACAATTTTTTCCACAGATGGGAAATTCTTTGGTCTGAGGCACCTACAAAGGTGAATGGTCCCCAGGCTCGGCAGTTTACACCTTGTATCAAACAGATAAACTTTCCCACAAACTTAATTCGCCTGGAAGTCAACAGTTCTCTTCTGGACTATTACACTGAATTAGATGCAGTAGTACTACATGGTGTGAAAGAGAGACCTATGCTTTCACTTAAGACTTCAATGATTGATATGAATGATATTGATGAGGATGAAGATGAAGAGAAGTATGGCTGTGGAATGGACACTCTTAATAAACAGTTCAGCGTTGTTACCCTCAGGGAGTGGCCGACTAATGGATATTTTGATAAACTGCCTTATGAGGTAAGAAGGAAATATTTATACTGAATATAACTGTCTTAAGCAAAGATGCTGTACAGGATATTACTGATCAAGACTGTTTTTTCCAGTTATAGAGTTCCTTGCACTCTTTTGTGGGTCTCCTACTATTATTATAGAGTTATGTCTGAATTGTTATGTCAATCCGTCTATTTCCATGAATGGATATTAACAGTCAGTTGGCCATTATTCACATAGTTTTGCACTACTTTCTCAGTAATCCATCCACTAACGCAGCTTTTTATGCTAGTTATTCTAGCCTCTAATTTCTAGCTCTGAAACTTAGAATTTTCTGGCAGTTTTCCAGTAATTTAGATGCTAGTAGTTTGCATTCCTCATGCATGACAAAGAGGACTGATGCATGAAAGAGATGGAAAACGACAGAATCAAAATCCAGAAGAGACGATAAGCTAAATGTTTTTTGCTGTTACCTCTCTTATAAAACCCCAGAACTTTGTTCTTGAAACTGTCGTGTAATTTTCACATTATCATGAAATAAGCTTCTTCCACCAAGCTAAGTTTTGAATCACAGAGCAATCAAAAAATGCTGTAGCTCTGCTGTCTGGACTTGTCTACTATCCTGTTTTGGTGTGTTTGTGCCAATCACGAAATAAAAAATAGCGGAAAACAGTTGTGATCCTGTGACTGTAGGGAAGTCGCAAATATATTTAAAGTCAGTGTAGATAAATATTCTCTTTCCCGTAGTTTCCAGTATAAAGAGATTGATTCAGCATGGTTGCTGAATATTGTGTGCAGACCTGGAAATTCATAGTGGAGTATAACCATTTGTGGAGGCTAGTGCCAGCCTGCATTAAGTGTAATCAGATGAACAGCTGAGAGACCAATTAATTCATCATCTTCTCCTCTTTTGAAATAAACTGGGTATGCACATAGTGGAGAGAAACCTTAACTTGCTCGTCAGAGCTCTGGACGTAGGCAGAGACAGAAGATTTCCTACTCTTTAGGCGACTGCAGTCTGGCAAAAGAAGCTAGTGCTTCTTTCCTGTAGTAGTACGTCAGGTGCTCAGAGTGTTTTTCGCTTGAGTCAGATTTGCTTTCGGGACTGAGGGGAGAACGGTAAAAGGTGGTGTCATTGGTTACAGGGAACTTACAGAAATATGTCATCTAATTAATGTTTTGCTTTTACCACATTTTATCATGCTTTTATCATGATCAGTTGTATCTAAATACCCCAATTCTGCACCTGATGGCCATGGTGGGCACTGCTGTGCTCTAATTACCTGCAAAGCAACTTTGTTGCGATTGCAAAGAGGAAAGAGAGGTGGAGAATATAAATACGTTGGAGAAAGATAGTGAGAGTTACCATCTTCTCTTTAAAAGTTTTTCAGGTCTTTAAAGGTCTTCCTTTTCATATTAGGACCCTCAAACTATTTACACAAAGTAATGTGTTTTGATGTTTGATCTTATCCCTATTGAATATATGTTGGATCTTATCCCTATTGAGTTTACTTTTACTGTTGTTGCAGTGGAATAATAAATAAGGATGCTAACTTCATCCAGAGTTAACTGTAGTTTTCCCCCACCCCAGAGTTCATATAGTAGTTAATATATATTATTGATGATACTTGTATACCAGTACTCAACTGAAAATGTAGTTTAGTGCATATGGGAGGACATGGTTGTCCAGGAAAATCTTAAGATGTATAACTGTGTTTGAAAATTTGTTCTTATTTAGCTATTCTAAGAAAATACTTCCAGTGAAAACCTGACTTAAACCTAGGAAGTTTCACAGAATCACAGGATGGTTTAGATTGAAAGGGACCTCTGGAGATCATCTAGTCTAACCTCCCTGCTCCAGCAGGGTCCTCTAGAGCATATTTCCTTCCCTGGAGATATTCAAAACCCGTCTGGATGTGATCCTGGGAGACTCCACTACCTCTCTGGGCAACCTGTTCCAATTCTCTGTCGCCCTCACAGCAAAGAAGTTTTTCCTCAGGTTCAGATGGAACTGCCTGTGGTTCAGTTTCTGCCCGTTGCCTCTTGTCGTGTCGCTGGGCACCACGGAGAAGAGG